GCACAACTCTGCTTATTATCTAAAATACTTGTAATGTCATTCACCACTTTCATTGTGGCAGTGATGGTGCTATGTTGCTTTCTGAAGCCTGACTGATGTTTACATAGTAGGTCATTGTTACTTAAAAACACCTTTACCTGCTCACTCACTAGGCGTTCATGAACCTTAGGCCCCGGCCCCACGAGGACGCATACGGTAAAACGCATACACAAACGCAATCGCAAAAAAGTCTTCCGTCCACACGCAATAGACACCGGAAAGTGTCCGTTCACACGAGACCGCTCGAAAGCGCTGGAGACGCTGTAGTACATATGGCAGGCCTGTAAGTGGCGCTGTAGTCTGCCACAAAAGCAGCAAAGAAGACTTCCCGCGCATGGTTGCCATGGTTACCCTTCTGTTTATTCTCCGCTCTGGCTTTCTTTCTCCCTCCCCGAGGCAAGCGTTTGCTCCTGCTGTAGATCTCACCAGCAGATGAAAAACACCCACCTCTCCGCCTCTTCCGAGGGACGAGGGGACCGTGAGGCAGAGCAGATTCAGTTAGATTTTTTTTCGCCGATCAACATGTCCGCACAAAGAACTGTAGCATGGTCAGTAGCGTCTGGAGCACGATAGCAACGCTGCGATCCGCCATTGTTGTTGTTGTTGTTGTTGGCGAAACACATCAGCAATGACGCGGGGTACGCGGAGGTGAGCAGGAGAGGCGGGGAGAGGCGGGGCTATTGCGTCATCATTATCAGAAAATGATCGTATAGGGCGTAATAACGGAGCCGTTGGACCCCCCAGAGCGTTGCGTATGCCGTTCTATCCACCTCGGGACTCGTTATCGTTACCGTAGTCGTTTACTGCCATATTCTGTCGTTCTAGTGTGGCCGAACGGTCTATATGACACAAAACTGTAACGGAAACTACCGTATGCGTCTCCGTGGGGCCGGGGCCTTAGCCAGAACTGACCATTTAGAGATGGGCCTATAATTATTTAAAACAGTTGCCTCCCCTCCTTTCAGCAAAGGCAGGACATACGCTGACTTCCATACTTTAGGAATTGTGTTTGTGCTGAGGGAGAGGTTAAAAAGAGTAGTGAGAGGTGGCTATCTTTAAAAAGAAAGGTTCTACGTTGTCCGGGCCGGCCGGTTTCTTAGGATCTAACTTGGATAAAGCTTCATGAACAACATTAACAGTAAAAGGAGTAAAACTGAAAGGGTTTTCCAGAGCACATTGTTCAGAGTCACAGACTGTGGTGTTCACAGAAGCAGAGTTAGTGACAGAATCAAACAGAGAGCCACAGGACACAAAATGCTCATTAAAGCAATGTAACATGGTGGCCCTGTCCGATATAGAGCCAGATGCTGTGGTAATGCACGGAGGTAGCTCATTACGGATCTCACCGGTGGATATCGATTTTATGGCTTTCCAAAATTTCCTAGGATTATTCAGGTTTTCTGTAGTAACTGATAGATAGTACTTCGACTTAGCACTTTTGACATGTGAAGTGAAGCTATTTCTTAGCTGCCTAAAACGCAGCCATTCTACCTCTGAGCCTGATTTCCTAGCCTTTGCCCAGGCCCCAAATGAGACCATGCAGTTTCAACATCAGCACACAGATCCATTTTTAATCAAAACCAAACAGATCATGTACGAAAGGTTTTGTGTCTCTCTTTATGATATATTTCTTCTGATTGTAATAAAAACTGGTATACCTTATAATATATATATATATATATATATATATATATATATATATATATATATATTAAATAAGGTATATTTCCATACACTTTATAATATATAATTTATAACAGCTGCAGTGTGTCCTTCTGTCCAGCAGGGGGAGCTGATGATCATCTGTTATTTAACATTAAAGGGGACCTATCATGCAAAATGCACTTGTGTACGTCTTTTCTACATGAATATGTGTCCCCGGTGTTCCAGGGAACTCACCAAGTGTCAGAAAACACAACCCTCTCTATTTTCCTCCATACCCAAATCTCTAAAAAAGGGGCTGCAACGGATCTGATAAAAACTGATCCAGATTTGAACACTGTCCTGACGTCAGGACGGTGGCGCTACGGCTATTGGGCCAACTCTCCACCTATCAGGGGAATGTGGGGTTGGGCCACGGCCGGCCATTGCTGCTCGAAAGCGCTGGAGACGCTGTAGTACATATGCCAGGCCTGTAAGTGGCGCTGTAGTCTGCCACAAAAGCAGCGAAGAAGACTTCCCGCCCATAGTTACCATGGTTACCCTTCTGTTTATTCTCCGCTGTGGCTTTCTTTCTCCCTCCCCGAGGCAAGCGTTTGCTCCCGCTGCTTTAATTCAATGCAATCCCTCCCCGTCGAGGCAAGCACTGTAACTCTCTCCGGTTAGTCCACCAGCAGATGACAAACACCCACCTCTCCGCCTCTTCCAAGGAACGAGGGGACCGTGCGGCAGAGTTTCCGTTTCACTTTCTTTCGCCGGTCAAGATGTCCGTTAAAGTTTAAATCTTCCGGACAAAATGATAAAAGTGCCGGTCAAAGGTCTTCTTTGTTATTTATTGAGCTTTAAAACAAATGAATAACGACTCTATATAATAAAACACGGAGGACGGAGATCTCTTTTTCTCCTCCTCTTCTGACAGCCCAGCAGCTGATCAGAGCACGTCTCCCCTCTCCTGCAGGGGGGCGTGGTCAGCAGAATCAGACCCGTAGACAGCAAACAGCACATAGAGCGAAATGAGGCATGGCTAAAATGCATGATCTGTTTGGTATTTTGAAAACAGAAACGTATAAATATACCTTATATAGGTATGGCCCTGCAATATATCATTTAAATATAGCATGATAGGTCCACTTTAAATTAACATTCATTATTTTATTAAAGTTTTCTAAACAGTATTTATTTATTATCACTATGCTTATATATGAATTAATTCCTGTTTACATCAAATGTAAGAGATATTATTTAATATTTTATTCATAATATTTGAACTTAGATTCTCATTTTTATTGAGTTTTTCCTTCATATTTTAACATTAGCAGATTTAATGTATTTATTATATTATTTGTTTATACTTTTATTTATTTATCATTTTATGTTATTATTATAACATCTTATTTTATTCGTGTTTTTTGTTTGTGTAAAAAAAGGAGGAGCTACAACTTAGCGACAACATGACGACATCAACGAGTGATGTAATATTACAGCCCTGAGTGTGTGTGTGTGTGTGTGTGTGTGTGTGTGTGTGTGTGTGTGTGTGTGTGTGTGTGTGTGTGTGTGTGTGTGTGTGTGTGTGTGTGTGTGTCTGTGTGTGTGTGTGTGTGTGTGTGTGTGTGTGTGTGTGTGTGTGTGTGTGTGTGTTGTGTGTGTGTGTGTGTGTGTGTGTGTGTGTGTGTGTGTGTGTCTATCAGCTCCAGTCAGATTCAGAGGACATGGTCGCTGATGTTTAATTCATACTAACTTTCATCATCCTGTCAGACCACACCTCCCTTATCTGAGAGGGAGTGTGTGTGTGTGTGTGTGTGTGTGTGTGTGTGTGTGTGTGTGTGTGTGTGTGTGTGTGTGTGTGTGTGTGTGTGTGTGTGTGTGTGTGTGTGTGTGTGTGTGTGTGTGTGTGTGTGTGTGTGTGGCTAGTTTTGTCATTATAGTTGTTGCTGTAACAATAGTACAGAATGTGTTTCTTTAATGAGGTTTCTTGAGTGTCTGAAAAGCGATGTGTGTTTTTATGGTAAATAAAGGTAGTATTAATTAATACAATGTTGACCTTCATTTACATCTCTCTAAAATGAATGGAAACTGCTCAACTCAGACTCATGAGTCCTGAACCCCTAACAGTAGATCAGCATTATGAGCCCTAAACTGTGACATGTGTTTCAGCTTCACAGTCACATGAAGCCTCACCTCCACCTGGAGCTGTGCACGCGTGCTTCACACACAACACAGAGCTCAGAGGAAAAGGATCTCTGAAGTGTTTCTGTGCAGAGAGAGCGAGTCACTGTCAGCAGCTTTAGGACCCTGCAGACACCTTGAGAGAGGAAATAAAACCAGAGGGAGACGAGGACACGTTCAGAGACAGAGGAGCAAGGAGAGGACGAGAACACTTTACTTGAGGAGACAAGAAACTTCATCTGAGAGCTGAGAGATACTAAGACATCTAACAAGGTAACAGACATTTCATATAACCTCACGATCACTGAGAGAAAACCTGATCCTGACCCACAGACAGACCTCAGATCTGGGGTTAAACTCTGTATTTAATGTGAGGGTTGACTGAAGGGAGATCCAGTCTGACTTTATTAAACCCTGAGACGCTGTACCTCCAGAGAAGAAGAAGAAGAAGTTCTATGTTTGAGGAGACAGGAAACTCCATCTGAGAGGAGCAGACTCTCCGCCTGAAGTGCATGATGGGAACTCCTTGATTCTGCATCAGAAGAGACTCATCCAGACCCCCTCCCCTGCAGACATGCCTCCCCAGGGACGGAGCTCCACGGCTGGGTTAGGAGGGCTGCTGCTACTGGGAGCGATGGTGGTGATGATGATGATGATGGTGGTGGTGGAGGCGAGCGAGGAGGAGAGCGAGGAGCTGCTGGAGGACGAGGAGGAGGACAGCAGCACTGAGGTCCAGGTGAGAGGCAGTATATCAGTAGTGTCTCTACTTTAAAGAGTCCTCTCCTGCTGATGCTCAGGTGTATATCAGTATGTGGAGTCTCTACTTTAAAGAGTCCTCTCCTGCTGATGTTCAGGTGTATATCAGTATGTAGTGTCTCTACTTTAAAGAGTCCTCTCCTGCTGATGTTCAGGTGTATATCAGTATGTAGTGTCTCTACTTTAAAGAGTCCTCTCCTGCTGATGTTCAGGTGTATATCAGTATGTAGTGTCTCTACTTTAAAGAGTCCTCTCCTGCTGATGTTCAGGTGTATATCAGTATGTAGTGTCTCTACTTTAAAGAGTCCTCTGATGTTCAGGTGTATATCAGTATGTAGTGTCTCTACTTTAAAGAGTCCTCTCCTGCTGATGTTCAGGTGTATATCAGTATGTAGTGTCTCTACTTTAAAGAGTCCTCTACTGCTGATGTTCAGGTGTATATCAGTATGTAGTGTCTCTACTTTAAAGAGTCCTCTCCTGCTGATGTTCAGGTGTATATCAGTGTGTAGTGTCTCTACTTTAAAGAGTCCTCTCCTGCTGATGTTCAGGTGTATATCAGTATGTAGTGTCTCTACTTTAAAGAGTCCTCTACTGCTGATGTTCAGGTGTATATCAGTATGTAGTGTCTCTACTTTAAAGAGTCCTCTCCTGCTGATGTTCAGGTGTATATCAGTATGTAGTGTCTCTACTTTAAAGAGTCCTCTCCTGCTGATGTTCAGGTGTATATCAGTATGTAGTGTCTCTACTTTAAAGAGTCCTCTCCTGCTGATGTTCAGGTGTATATCAGTATGTAGTGTCTCTACTTTAAAGAGTCCTCTGCTGCTGATGTTCAAGTGTATATCAGTATGTAGTGTCTCTACTTTAAAGAGTCCTCTCCTGCTGATGTTCAGGTGTATATCAGTATGTAGTGTCTCTACTTTAAAAAGTCCTCTCCTGCTGATGTTCAGGTGTATATCAGTATGTAGTGTCTCTACTTTAAAGAGTCCTCTCCTGTTGATGTTCAGGTGTATATCAGTATGTAGTGTCTCTACTTTAAAGAGTCCTCTCCTGCTGATGTTCAGGTGTATATCATTATGTAGTGTCTCTACTTTAAAGAGTCCTCTCCTGCTGATGTTCAGGTGTATATCAGTATGTAGTGTCTCTACTTTAAAGAGTCCTCTCCTGCTGATGTTCAGGTGTATATCAGTATGTAGTGTCTCTTTAAAGAGTCCTCTCCTGCTGATGTTCAGGTGTATATCAGTATGTAGTGTCTCTACTTTAAAGAGTCCTCTCCTGCTGATGTTCAGGTGTATATCAGTATGTAGTGTCTCTACTTTAAAGAGTCCTCTCCTGCTGATGTTCAGGTGTATATCAGTATGTAGTGTCTCTACTTTAAAGAGTCCTCTCCTGCTGATGTTCAGGTGTATATCAGTATGTAGTGTCTCTACTTTAAAGAGTCCTCTCCTGCTGATGTTCAGGTGTTTATCAGTATGTAGTGTCTCTACTTTAAAGAGTCCTCTCCTGCTGATGTTCAGGTGTATATCAGTATGTAGTGTCTCTACTTTAAAGAGTCCTCTCCTGCTGATGTTCAGGTGTATATCAGTATGTAGTGTCTCTACTTTAAAGAGTCCTCTCCTGCTGATGTTCAGGTGTATATCAGTATGTAGTGTCTCTACTTTAAAGAGTCCTCTCCTGCTGATGTTCAGGTGTATATCAGTATGTAGTGTCTCTACTTTAAAGAGTCCTCTCCTGCTGATGTTCAGGTGTATATCAGTATGTAGTGTCTCTACTTTAAAGAGTCCTCTCCTGCTGATGTTCAGGTGTATATCAGTATGTAGTGTCTCTACTTTAAAGAGTCCTCTCCTGCTGATGTTCAGGTGTATATCAGTATGTAGTGTCTCTACTTTAAAAAGTCCTCTCCTGCTGATGTTCAGGTGTATATCAGTATGTAGTGTCTCTACTTTAAAAAGTCCTCTCCTGCTGATGTTCAGGTGTATATCAGTATGTAGTGTCTCTACTTTAAAAAGTCCTCTCCTTCTGATGTTCAGGTGTATATCAGTATGTAGTGTCTCTACTTTAAAGAGTCCTCTCCTGATGATGTTCAGGTGTATATCAGTATGTAGTGTCTCTACTTTAAAGAGTCCTCTCCTGATGATGTTCAGGTGTATATCAGTATGTAGTGTCTCTACTTTAAAGAGTCCTCTCCTGCTGATGTTCAGGTGTTTATCAGTATGTAGTGTCTCTACTTTAAAGAGTCCTCTCCTGATGATGTTCAGGTGTATATCAGTATGTAGTGTCTCTACTTTAAAGAGTTCCGGAAGTAAACAAAGGAGTCCAATGGAGGAAGCAACGGAAATGTCGGACATAGTGCCGGATAAAAAACTTAAATATGAAAAGGAGGTTAAATGACTGTTTGTCGTGGCTTTAGATGGGGTATGGTGTCCAACACACAGCAAACGTTTATTATTTAATCGCTCAATGTCTACGTTATATTGTCTGGATCTATCAGGCCAGTCGTGCTACTGGAAGATGTTCTGATCAAATGCTTGAAAAGAAGATATTCAGTTGCATGCCTCCGCCAGCCAGCCGTCTCCATCCAACTGTCATCGCTCCGTCATTCCACACAATTACACAATTGTGCTAAATTGTCATAATTAGCATCTGAGTTGAGTCTTGAGCTATGGCCCCAAAACGTCCCAGAGACCTTCGTGCCCCAAATTCCAAATGTGGGTTTCTTCAAAATAATAGATGATAATAATAATAATGCATTACATTTATATAGCGCTTTTCCTGGTGTTCAAAGCGCCTACAAGCAAGTCAAACAAAATAACAACTAAAGTAAAAAGAGCTAAGCTAGGTGGAATAAGGGCGAGGCGTTAGTGGATTAGGAGTTGAAGGCAAGAGTGAAAAGGTGAGTTTTGAGGGATTGTTTGAATGATGTGAGAGTGTTGGCAGATCTGACGTGGCTGGGGAGGGAGTTCCATAGTGAGGGGGGAGGGGGGGCTGCAGCGAAGGCCCTGTCCCCCCAGGTCCGGAGCTTTGTCCTGATGGGCTGCAGTAGGTTATGATAGAGGATATCTAACAAGTCAAGCAGTGGTCGTTGGACGCGGGAGATCGCCGTCCCCCCACTTATTTGGACCCCCCACTTTTTTGAAGCATGACTCTTTTTGAATAGTCCAATAAATATAAAATCATTGCCAGTGTTATCAGTTGCAAGTGTGTATTTGTTCTAATAATGACGAAAACATAATACATTTAACAGTAATTATAATATTATAAATTATAAAAAGTAGCTCAAGTATTTATGCAACTTGATTTGAAGCGTATGTGTGTGTGAGGGGCAGCACCGTGTGTGTGTGAGGGGCAGCACCGTGTGTGTGTGAGGAGCAGCACCGTGTGTGTGTGTAGGGTGACCAGGTGTCCCTCTTTGTGCGGGACTGCACACACAGCATTTTTATCATTTGTCCCGCGTCCCACAAATTGAGACTATGTCCCGCATTTGAGTGACAGAAAGGCCGGCTCGGTTCGCTGACGGCCGGCACAGCCCTTTATTATTATATTTTGTAAACGGCATCATGTAAGTTGCGCTGACAGACGACAAAGGTCCACAGAGGTCCACAGTGTACCCCCCCATTGACAGTTAGCGAGCGCGTCCATAGTGTCTCTCCCCCCCCTGCCCCGTCCACCCAGTAAAAAAATCCCCACTACACCACTGAAGTCAAGGGATGATGTATTTCTGTGTTGGTCCCTGAAGACAGCATCTCCCTGGTCCGCTAAGCTAAAGGAGGCTAATGTTGGGCTATGAAGGAACTACAGCACGGTCACATGACTTCACGCCACCACCGCTAAGCTAAAGGAGGCTAATGTTGGGCTATAAAGGAACTACAGCACGGTCACATGACTTCACGCCACCACCGCTAAGCTAAAGGTGGCTAATGTTTGGCTATAAAGGAACTACAGCACGGTCACATGACTTCACGCCACCACCGCTAAGCTAAAGGCAGCTAATGTTGGGCTATAAAGGAACTACAGCACGGTCACATGACTTCACGCCACCACCGCTAAGCTAAAGGCAGCTAATGTTGGGCTATAAAGGAACTACAGCACGGTCACATGACTTCACGTCACCACCGCTAAGCTAAAGGCGGCTAATGTTGGGCTATAAAGGAACTACAGCACGGTCACATGACTTCACGTCACCACCGCTAAGCTAGAGGTGGCTAATGTTGGGCTATAAAGGAACTACAGCACGGTCACATGACTTCACGTCACCACCGCTAAGCTAAAGGAGGCTAATGTTGGGCTAGAAAGGAACTACAGCACGGTCACATGACTTCACGTCACCACCGCTAAGCTAGAGGTGGCTAATGTTGGGCTAGAAAGGAACTACAGCACGGTCACATGACTTCACGTCACCACCGCTAAGCTAAAGGTGGCTAATGTTGGGCTATAAAGGAACTACAGCCCGGTCACATGACTTCACGTCACCACCGCTAAGCTAAAGGCGGCTAATGTTGGGCTAGAAAGGAACTACAGCACGGTCACATGACTTCACGTCACCACCGCTAAGCTAGAGGTGGCTAATGTTGGGCTAGAAAGGAACTACAGCACGGTCACATGACTTCACGTCACCACCGCTAAGCTAGAGGTGGCTAATGTTGGGCTAGAAAGGAACGTGATGAAATGCTGACTCATGTCTCGGTTTAGGACTCATTCCTGCAGCTCTCTTTTGGTTAATCATTAATGTGAAATACATATTTAATCAAACGAACCTTGTTTTCTTTAACCTCCTGCAGGAATCCTCCGATCTGTCCCGAGTGTCTCCTCTGAGCTCCTGGCTGATCTTCAGGAGAAACTCCAACAAGGGGGACAACCGGCGGAGCAAAGCATCCCGGAGGACCTCCAAGGTGAGACGACCTGACACTGAACCCAGAGACAATTACAGTAGCTGGAGATTGATGCAGAGAGAAAGAAAAAGCAATAACTCAAAGTCTCACAAGGTGCAGCTCTTAAACACTGTTTCTGCAAAGTAACTGTTTCTGTTTGGTGCATTTTAATATGTGAAGCAGAACTCATGGGACTAAGGCGATGAAACACCTCAACTATAACATTTTAATTGTACACATAGGTTCAATTTAGAGAAGAGCTGAGAATACTTCAGTGGTCTGCAGATTACTCCAGAGATGATTTGGATGAAAAATGCTTCTGTTTCATTAGTGAGCATGATGTCCTCAAAACAAAACTCATTTAGACACATGTGTTTGTATTCTTCTTTATATTAAATGTAAACTTTTTCATACTTAAATATATGTTTTGTATATATTGCTACTTGGTTTATTTGACCACTGTGTACTTATCTGTTATTTACTTATTGTGTTTTTGTGTATGATTCAAAATGTATGCATACGTTTTTACATAATATGTAAGTCTACTTTTTAGTTTTACCTTACTATACTCTTGCTTTTATAATATCGTATAGTTTCAAGTCTCAAGGCTTTATTGCCATGTGCACTGCAGCTACAGTGAAGATATGGGTCTCATGTCCCCGTTGAGGGACAATACAGGAATTCTGATTCCCCGATAAACATTCATCTGTTTGTCCTCTTGCAATCTAATAATGTATACAAACAGTTAGGCTATCACCGCAATACACCGTATGTCATTTAGTCTTAATTATTGAATTTCATATTCTGTTCTTACACATCATATTCTATTTACATGTATTTAGACTTCTTGCACTATTTTTTATTTGTATTTCATTATATATGTTGCATTGTTGGAGGAGCTCAGGTCAGAAGAGTTTCATTGCCATTTCTACTCTGTAGCTGCTGAGCATATGATGATAAAACCTTTGAATCTTCTGTCCGTGCAGCATGGTCTCCCCGGCCCTCCAGGACCCCCGGGCCCCCAGGGGCCTCCGGGGCCCCCCGCCCCTCTCTTGCCCCGACAGCAGGAGCTCATCCAGGAGCTGCAGCTCAAACTGAGAGGTGAGCGCTAACAGTCTCTGTGCTAAGCTAGGCTAACAATCTCTGTGTTGCCTCAAGACGGAGCTTCTCTCCTACACACTCCCCCAAACGTCCCCCAAACGTCCCCCAAACGTCCCTCCATTGGACTCTTTTTTTCACTAGCGCTCCAACACATTGTACGTGATAGGCTAAGGGGGCGGGACATCTCTAAGCGGTTGACCAATCACAACAGAGCCGTCCAGCTAACCAATCAGAGCAGACTGGGCTCTGGTGTCAGACAGAGGGTGAAAAGAGGTGCTGCAGCACAGGCAGTATGACAATCTCAGGATTCTGACTTTTTTCAGAAATTCTCCAAATGTCATAAAAAGTCATAAAATCTCAACATTTTTGATCAAATCTCAAAATGTCTATTTATTTCTGAAAATGTTGACCTTTTTATCCAAATCTCTACACTTTTACTTTTTACTCAAAATCTTAGAATCCTGGTAAAACAATTCATAAAAAAAACACCTCAGAATTCTGAGTCTGCCTGACACAAAGTCATGTCTAGATCAGATTCTCTTCTTCAGTGGAGAGTTTTTAAAGACCTGAAAAGGCCCTGTTCCTCTTAGCAGGAGGACATCATGTGATGGGCCGTTTTTAGTGAACTGGATTTTGCCCGGCTGCATGCAAACAGGAATATTATCTGTTCATTCATTTGAATTAGCTAAGTAAGAAAATATCTCTTTTATGGTGTGCTGCACAATAAAATCTCCCTTTTTCGTGTTATTGAGCCTAAATAGTGAGTAAAATAAGCGTAGTCCTGCTGGAGAGAGACAGATGAAACTGAAGGAGTTTCCACAGAACGACACGATGTGTGTTTTCAGAGAAGATGGAAAAAATGATGAAATCTAACAACATGTTTAGTTAGCTCTCAGACTGAGACTGACGCTTCACTTTCACTCACTGCGTCTGTATGTGGGTTATATAAACACTGTGTGTGTGTGTGTGTGTGTGTGTGTGTGTGTGTGTGTGTGTGTGTGTGTGTGTGTGTGTGTGTGTGTGTGTGTGTGTGTGTGTGTGTGTGTGTGTGTGTGTGTGTGTGTGTGTGTGTGTGTGTGTGTGTGTGTGTGTGTGTGTGTGTGTGTGTGTGTGTGTGTGTGTGTGTGTGTGTGTGTGTGTGTGTGTGTGTGTGTGTGTGTGTGTGTGTGTGTGTGTGTGTGTGTGTGTGGAGGCAGCCTGTCTGAGTCCTTAATAGGGGTAATTTTGTGGAGCGTGGATGTGACTTGGCTCTGCTGCAGATTCCTGACATTCCTGCAGACTGATGGTGTGTCTTTGTTACTTTCTCTGTGTGTGTGTGTGTGTGTGTGTGTGTGTGTGTGTGTGTGTGTGTGTGTGTGTGTGTGTGTGTGTGTGTCCATCAGGTTGCTTAAGCGTGTGTACTCGTATACTACAGCTCGAGTTTACGCTCTTTATTTGCATGTAAATAAAGAGACCTATCACTTAATCAATGTGTATGAATCATATTGCATTTTTAAAAAGCACACACACATATACGACAATTTAAATCCTTTTCAACTCAGAATCTCAGAGGGTACAAATCTACATTCCTGCATTTGGCCCTGCCATTGAACGCACCACGTGGTTGGTGTTGGAGACGTCTCAGTACCAGAAAGGTGGTGTTCAATACCACCGTAAAAAACAGACCAATAAATCCCATGCACATCATCACAACGTCCTTCATCACCTCTTAACTCACTGACATATCTATTTATATTGCTGTGAAGACACAACTACATTTCACAAGACTCATGTATTCTGAATAGAGCCTGAATGCAGCACAGTGTATTAATGCATCATCTGTCCCTGAAGATGCTAACTGGACTGTACTCATACATCTCGTTATCAGGCCTTCTCAACCACTCAAAGCTCTTCACAGACTACGAGTCATTCACCCATTCATACACACGCACGCACGCACGCACGCACGCACGCACGCACGCACGCACGCACGCACGCACGCACGCACGCACGCACGCACGCACGCACGCACGCACGCACGCACGCACGCACGCACGCACAGCACGCACACACACACACACACACACACACACACACACACACACACACACACACACACACACACACACACACACACACACACACACACACACACACACACACACACACACACACACACACTAGTCAACGATGATCCGAGCTCCTGAAGTGATGATTCTTTTTACGTTTGTTAAAGGATTTAAGCTTGAAGAGTCTTCTGCTTGATGACATTATTTAAAGGTCCTCTATTATGCAAAAGTCACTTTTTTTATGTCTTTTTACGTAAATATGTGTCCCCGGTGTGTCAGGAGACTCACAAAGTGTCAGGAAATAATGCAAAAGACACTTTGAAATCACATGTAAGCGTCCGGACGGAGATGCTTCTGTGAGAATCTCAGAATGTAGTGTTTTTGACTTCGCCGTGTCGACTTTATAAAATCAGAATATGGAGAAAAAACAGATCTGTGGCGGCAGTCTGCAGAGTGAGTGATGAAGTCAGACGTCTGCAGTCTGACCACAGTGTGAGTCACACACACACACACACACACACACACACACACACACACACACACACACACACACACACACACACACACACACACACACACACACACACACACACACACACACACACACACACACACACACACACACACACACACACACAGGTCTCAGTGTTAAACAGGCAGCAGGCCAACTCAAGCACACGCAGCTCAATTTTTCTCTCCTATGACCTCATTTGAAAAAAAAAACTTCATACAAACAATAAATGCATTTTATTCCTCCCCTCCTCCCCTCCTCCTCCTCCTCCTCCTCCTCCTCCTCCTCCTCCTCCTCCTCCCTCCAGACAGGAAGAGCACTTCAGTCTGGCCGCTTTAATCAGATTTGAGTGTACCCACACAAGATTTCAGGAGATGGTACTTCGTGTGTCGATACTCGTTAATCTTCAGTAACTTGGAAAATGTTGCCGTAGTGTTTCATTTCATTCCAAAGGAAGAACCACAACACGTTAAAAAAGTGCCGCAACGACCCCTCCAACAGATAAATTGAGCGTTGCGTTTGAGGGGGATCTTCAGGGACAGATAATACACCGTGGTGCGTTCAGGCTCTATTCAGTACAACCTGAACACGTGCATTTTCAAGCATTTGGTCTATGTTGTAAATATATTTTCTTTTCAATTTACACACGGCATCTATTGTCTGTCCGTCCTGAGAGAGGGATCCTCCTCTGTTGCTGTTATAACAATAACTGGGGGTCTCTCCCATTAACTGGGGGTCTCTCCCATTAACTGGGGGTTTCTCCATTAACTGTGGGTTTCTCTCATTAACTGGGGGTTTCTCTCATTAACTGGGGGTTTCTCTCATTAACTGGGAGGTCTCTCACATTAACTGGGGGTTTCTCTCATTAACTGGGAGGTCTCTCACATTAACTGGGGGGTTTCTCCCATTAACTGGGGGTTTCTCTCATTAACTGGGAGGTCTCTCACATTAACTGGGGGTTTCTCTCATTAACTGGGAGGTCTCTCACATTAACTGGGGGTTTCTCCATTAACTGGGGGGTTTCTCACATTAACTGGGGGTTTCTCACTTTAACTGGGGGGTTTCTCCATTAAGGTTTCTCCCATTAACTGGGGGGTTTCTCCATTAACTGGGGGGTTTCTCCATTAACTGGGGGGTTCTCTCATTAACTGGGGGTTCTCTCATTAACTGGAGGTTTCTCCCATTAACTGGGGGGTTTCTCACATTAACTGGGGGGTTTCTCCATTAACTGGGGGGTTTCTCCATTAACTGGGGGGTTCTCTCATTAACTGGGGGTTTCTCCCATTAACTGGGGGGTTTCTCACATTAACTGGGGGGTTTCTCCATTAACTGGGGGGTTTCTCCATTAACTGGGGGGTTTCTCCATTAACTGGGGGGTTCTCTCATTAACTGGGGGTTTCTCACATTCACTGGGGGGTTTCTCCATTAACTGGGGGTTTATCTCATTAACTGGGGGGTTCTCTCATTAACTGGGGGGTCTCTCCCATTGACTGGGGGGTCTCTCACATTAACTGGGGGTTTCTCACATTAACTGGGGGGTTTTCTCCATTAACTGGGGGGTTTCTCCATTAACTGGGGGGTTTCTCCATTAACTGGGGGGTTCTCTCATTAACTGGGGGTTTCTCACATTCACTGGGGGGTTTCTCCATTAACTGGGGGTTTATCTCATTAACTGGGGGGTTCTCTCATTAACTGGGGGGTCTCTCCATTGACTGGGGGGTCTCTCACATTAACTGGGGGGTTTCTCACATTAACTGGGGGGTTTCTCCATTAAGGTTTCTCCCATTAACTGGGGGGTTTATCACATTCACTGGGGGGTTTCTCCATTAACTGGGGGGTTTTCTCCATTAACTGGGGGGGTTCTCTCATTAACTGGGGGTTTCTCACATTCACTGGGGGGTTTCTCCATTAACTGGGGGTTTCTCTCATTAAACTGGGGGGTTCTCTCATTAACTGGGGGTCTCTCCCATTGACTGGGGGTTTCTCACATTAACTGGGGGTTTCTCTCATTAACTGGGGGTTTCTCACATTAACTGGGGGGGTTCTCCATTAACTGGGGGGTTTCTTACATTAACTGGGGGGTCTCTCCCATTGACTGGGGGGTTTCTCACATTAACTGGGGGTTTCTCTCATTAACTGGGGGTTTCTCACATTAACTGGGGGTTTCTCCATTACCTGGGGGTTTCTCTCATTAACTGGGGGTTTCTCTCATTAACTGGGGGTTCTCACATTAACTGGGGGGGTTCTCCATTAACTGGGGGGTTTCTTACATTAACTGGGGGTTTCCTCACATTAACTGGGGGTTTCTCTCATTAACTGGGGGTTTCTCACATTAACAGGGGGGGTTCTCCCATTACCTGGGGGTTTCTCACATTAACTGGGGGGGTTCTCCATTAACTGGGGGTTTCTCTCATTAACTGGGGGTTTCTCACATTAACTGGGGGGGTTCTCCATTAACTGGGGGTTTCTCTCATTAACTGGGGGTTTCTCTCATTAACTGGGGGGTTTCTCACATTAACTGGGGGGTTTCTCCATTAACTGGGGGGTTTCTTACATTAACTGGGGGGTTTCTTACATTAACTGGGGGGTTTCTCCATTAAGGTTTCTCACATTAACTGGGGGTTTCTCCCATTAACTGGGGGGTTTCTCCCATTAAGGTTTCTCCCATTAACTGGGGGGTTTCTCCCATTAAGGTTTCTCTCATTAACTGGGGGGTTTCTCCCATTAAGGTTTCTCCCATTAACTGGGGGGTTTATCCCATTAAGGTTTCTCCCATTAACTGGGGGGTTTCTCCCATTAAGGTTTCTCCCATTAACTGGGGGGTTTCTCCCATTAAGGTTTCTCTCATTAACTGGGGGGTTTCTCCCATTAAGGTTTCTCCCATTAACTGGGGGGTTTCTCCCATTAAGGTTTCTCCCATTAACTGGGGGGTTTCTCCCATTAAGGTTTCTCTCATTAACTGGGGGGTTTCTCCCATTAAGGTTTCTCTCATTAACTGGGGGGTTTCTCCCATTAAGGTTTCTCTCATTAACTGGGGGGTTTCTCCCATTAAGGTTTCTCTCATTAACTGGGGGGTTTCTCCCATTAAGGTTTCTCACATTAACTGGGGGGTTTCTTTGGAAGTTTTTCCTTGTCCGATGTGAGGGTCCAAGGACAGAGGATGTTGTATTGTCGTATTAATATTCTGCACAAACTGTAAAATCCACTGAGACAAATGTAACATTTGTGATATTGGGCTATGTAAATAAATATTGATTGATTGATTGACCAGTCTGAGTTGAGCGCTGACACTTTAAAAATCCAAAAATGACGGCGTAAACTCACAGCAGCTAAACATTATTTTTTTCTGATATTTCAGACCTGGCCGGAGGGGGCGGGTGTTTCCGGTGCGATGCCGCTCCTCCTCGGGTCTCCACCTCCTTCCTCAGCCGCCTGCTGCTGCCCGTCATCGTGCCGCGGCGCAGCCTGCTGGAGCTGCAGCCCTTCAGCCAGGTACTGCTGCCTTTCTGTCCTTTCAGGTAGGAGTAGATGAAAAGACACCAGGAAACTTCTCGTCAAGTTAACAGCGTTTATTAATATGATGAAACTACGATGAGTCTGCAAAAGTACTCGGTCGAGGTCTTCTCTGATACACAATGTAGTGATCTGTCTCTCAGATTCACAGGAAGAGTCCCGATCTCTTGTTTACATCACATTTTATTAAATCTGTAGATTCGATAAGTCTTCTCCCATTGGTTGGCGGGGAGGAGCCAGGTTCTATTGGCCACGCCTCTTAGCGCTTGCTGCTCCATTCAGATCTTCTGTTGCCCTCTAGTAGCGTAATCAAATAACATTCTATCATAAGATATTATATAACCAGACAAATTACCCAATAACACATAATAACAGTTGATATATTGATTATTCTCACACACACACACACACACACACACACACACACACACACACACACACACACACACACACACACACACACACACACACACACACACACACACACACACACACACACAGACAGACAGACAGACAGACAGACAGACACACACACACACACACCCACACACACACACACACACACACACACACACACACACACACACACACAGGTGAGACTGCAGTGTATATAATGTGACCTTTGCCCCCTGCAGCCGGCAGACTCGGAGCTTAGCCTTCAGAGAGGGCGGAGCTTCAACAGCAGCACCGGACGCTACACGGCGCCGCTGACCGGATTCTACCAGCTGACCGCCAGCCTGCTGATCGGTAAATCTAAACACTGATAACACCCCTCTATCTTATTGACCTGCAGGAGTGAAGAGTGTCTGATCAATGCACGAGCATGAGTCTACGGAGGCCGACAGGTGCAAACAAGCGACAACAATCAAACCTCTTCCATCAGGAGAAACTCGCTGCAGCTTCAGAAAGGATGCAGATATAAAAACCCAAATGTTCCACATGAAGAAACATCTTCAGCAACAACACATGCAGCATTTCGAGAACATTCATCAACTTGAGGAGACATGCGCAGCGTTTACTAAAAGCTGCAGAAACCAAACGCTGCAAGAAGCTCAAAACACAACGGACAGCAGAGGCCTGTACTACGAAGCCGGATGTTCTCTTAGCTGACTTCAGGGAAAACTCTGGGTTTCCGGTCCTACGACGCTGGTTCTCTTTTTAGCGGGCTAGATCTCCATGGTAACTGATGCTGAGCGGCTAGCCTGGTCTGGAGCAGGTTAGGTTGCAGGCTAAGAGATCAACTCAGTGAAAGCACCGCCTGCTGACCAATCAGAGCTCAGTGTGCGGAGTTTAAAGCTATCAAGTCATATTACAGGATAGAGGAAATACAGAAAAAACTGCCGTTGCAGGAAAGACGGCCGGCAAAAATCACAGACTGTGTGAACGTGAAACATTAATAGAATATCCCCTCCCATCTTCAGAGCAATCTGACTATTATAATATTAGCGTTAAGAAAGCTTACTTAAATATCTGCCACAACATAAGTAACCGGATCAGAGTAACATTAAGTACAGTCCGCGGCACTGTGAGTGCAGACGTCGATGTGTCCCATTATCATTCATATCATATCACATCATAATGTATCATATATTTCCTTATCTGAGTCAGCTGAGCCGTATCTGGCCGTGCAACACTCACAGTGTCACATACTGTATGCAGAAGTATTATTTTAAGCAACACATTAAGTTGACGAAACACTGGAGTCAAATGTAATAAAGTCAGATCGTGTCTTAGACGGGGCAGTGATATCATAAACCTGTTAATGTACGCATTCAAACACTTTCTCTGTTACCAGCTGTATTCACCTTGCAGGTGCAGCTATGTGGCTTTGATCCTGGATAAAGTGTTTAAGTCATGGATGTTTAAAGTTTAACTTCTTCATATTTGACTAATATTAAAGTTGTGGTGCCGAGAGACGGGAGTCGGAGGCGGGGTATCAAATGAACAAGCTAGACTTTTATTTTGCATCGGAACTTCATGTCAACAACAACATGCACGAGGAGAAGAATACCGGCGGAAACAGAAAGTCCGCCTCACTCAAATGTCCGTGCGGAACAATACACCAACCCCTAGATCTGTGGGTGGATAATGTCAATCACCACACAAGCCCCCCCAGAATTCACCCATAGTCAAAATCCTCGTGCCTGGGAGGAAGTACCACCCGACCCCGGCGCGTACGGACCACAGGGGCCGAGGAGGGCGGGGCCGCAGGCGAGGGCAGGGGCAGGGGCGCCAACGAGGGCGAGGGCATCCCCACAGGGGGCGGGGGTCGGGCCATGGGAGGGCGGCCCCGACGTGGGGGCAAAGCCAACTCCAACGGCCTAGAAACGTCCACGTGAGCAGGCTTAACCCGATCAACAGACACAGTCTCAGGCCTGCCACCCACGTCCACCACCAGGCTCTTGTCCCCGTGACGTATGACCCTGAACGGACCATCGTACGGGGACCGCAGGGGGCCGCGGGGGGCGTCGTGGCGAATAAAAACGAAATCCGCCGACCGTAATCCGGGGGACACCCGGAAAGCTGGGCTGCTGTGCTGCGACGTTGGGACGGGCGCGAATGTCCCGGCGGTCTCCAACAGGGAGGAGCGCTGCCCGGCCGCAGACCAGGGCACAGTGGCGGTGGGAATGAATTCCCCGGGGACCCGTAGCGTCTGGCCATAAACTAGCTCCGCCGACGAGGACTGCAGGTCTTCTTTGGGGGCACACCTGAGGCCGAGCATAACCCATGGGAGCTTATCCACCCAGTTGCCGTCTGTCAAGCCGGCACGCAGCGACGCCTTCATGGATCGGTGAAACCGCTCACACAATCCGTTAGCCTGGGGGTGATAAGCGGTGGTGCGGTGCAGCTTGACCCCCAAACCCACAGCAACAGCGTTCCACAGCTCCGAGGTGAACTGAGAACCGCGGTCAGAGGAGAGGTCAGACGGGGTCCCGAAATGCGCCACCCACGTGCCGATGAAAGCGCGGGCGACGTCGGAAGCTGACGTCGAGGTGAGGGGAACGGCCTCGGGCCAGCGGGTCGTCCTGTCCACCATCGTAAACAGGTAGGTGAAACCGTGAGAGGGGGGAAGCGGAGACGTCACACCACAGCTTCGCGCCCGAGTCACCGACCGTGACCTCCTCCAGGCGTAATCCCGTGACCGAGGCCTTGAGGGTTTGGACCCCGTGGTCAGAGGCCTGGTCAGCGCCCATGCGGAGGTAATCGAGGCCCAGCTGCACAGCTCCGACAACCGCTCTGGAGAGGCAGTCCGCGACCACGTTAGCCTTGCCAGCGATGTGTCGAATGTCCGTGGTGTACTCGGAGATGTACGAAAGCTGGCGTTGCTGTCGGGCGGACCACGGCTCGGCCACCTTGGACATGCAGAAGGTAAGCGGCTTGTGATCCACGAACGCCGCAAACTCCCGGCCTTCCAGCAGGAAACGGAAGTGGCGAACTGCCAAATAGAGACCAAGGAGTTCTCTGTCGAAAGCGCTGTACTTGCGCTCCCTGGGAGTCAACTGGCGGCTGAAAAAGGCGAGCGGTTGCCAGGCGCCGTCGACCCACTGCTCATGCACCGCGCCCACCGCGTAGTCAGACGCGTCGGTGGTGATAGCGATGGGGGCCCCGTGCGACGGGTGAGCCAACATGGCGGCTTCGCTCAGGGCGGCTTTGGTGGCGTCGAAAGCAACCTCCCTCTCAGCCGTCCAGTCTATGGCCTGGCCGGGGGACTTGTCCTTGAGGGCCTCGTACAGGCCGGTGATAAAACGTCACCATCCCGAGGAACTCCCGGAGCGCCCGAGCTGTAGGCGGTCGTGGAAAGGCGGACACGGCCTCCACTTTCGACGGGAGGGGGGCGGCCCCACCCTTGTTGATGAGGTGCCCGAGGAACTGGATGGAGGACAACCCGAACTGACACTTCGCCGGGTTGATAATCAGGCCGTGTTGGTCGAGCCTTGCGAAAAGGACCCGGAGATGTGCCTGGTGCTCTTCGGAGGAGGAGCTGGCGACCAGGATGTCGTCTAAATAGATGAAGATGAATGACATGTCTCTGAGCGCCGAATCCATCAGCCGCTGAAAGGACTGAGCAGCGTTCTTAAGTCCAAAAGGCATACGCAGGAACTCGAAAAGCCCGAACGGCGTAATTACAGCAGTTTTGGGGACGTCCGAGGGGTGCACCGGAACCTGGTGGTAGCCCCGCACCAGATCCACCTTGGAGAAGACCAGCTTGCCCGCCAGGTGTGCAGAGAAATCCTGGATGTGAGGGACCGGGTAGCGGTCTGGCGTAGTGGCGTCGTTAAGGCGGCGGTAGTCACCACACGGTCGCCAGCCACCGGCTGCTTTAGGGACCATGTGAAGCGGCGAAGCCCAAGGGCTGCCTGAGCGGCGGATGATGCCCAGACGCTCCATGTTGACGAACTCCGACTTGGCGACTGCCAGCATGTCAGGGTTGAGCCGCCGGGCCCTAGCGTAGACTGGAGGGCCCACAGTGTCAATGTGGTGCTCTACCCCGTGTTTGGCGGTGGCAGCGGAAAAGGTGGGCTGCGTCAAGTCGGGAAACTCACTGAGAAGGTGCTGAAACTTGTCACCCTGTGAGAGTGAGCTGGAGAGCCCGCTGAATGACGCCTCGCCGCGGGTACATCTGAACGAGGCAAATGTCAGTGCGTCCACCAGGCGGTTGTTCTTGACGTCCACCAGCAGCCTGTGAGCGCACAGGAAGTCTGCGCCGAGGAGGGCGAAGGAGATGTCAGCCGTGACGAAATCCCACCTAAACCGCTGACCCTCGAAGCACAGGTCCACTGTCTTTGTGCCATAGGTGCGAATAGGGGTGTCGTTAGCGGATGTCAAAGGTGGGCCGTGACCCCCACCGGCGGCGTCCTCCACGGTAGCCGGCAGGACGCTCCGCTGGGCTCCCGTGTCACAAAGGAGTCTGCGACCAGAGAGGGTGTCCCTGATGAACAGGAGCCGATTGGACGTGCCCACGCTCGCGGCCACTACCGAGCGCAGGCCTTGGCGTTTCCCGTTACCTTGTAGGTGCAGGAGGGACGGCACATCTTCGCTTTCGCCCCGTAGCGTGCATGGTAATAACACAGGCCAGGGCTGGAGTCGCTGACGTCGGCCCTGGAGCTCCTGCTAGGTGGCATGCCTGTACCCGGGAAGGCGCCGCTGTGTGTCGGGGCCAGCACCTCAGGGGCAAAACGTTGGGTTGCCAGGAAGAACCGGTCAGCCTCTTCGGCCAAAGCGCGGGGCTCGGTAAGAGCCGTATTAGCGAGCGCTGTCTGCACATGCAGCGGCATGTGCCGAAGAAACAGTTCAATAAACAAAAAATTAGGCTCCTCCGTACCCAGCAGGCTGAGCATCATCTCCATATGGTCTGAAGGCTTGTTGTCCCCCAGGCCATGAATAGCGAGCAGGCGTCGGGCCCGCTCCGACCGTGACAGCTCGAACGTCTTCAGCAGGAAAGCTTTGAACGCTGCATATTTATCCTGGGCAGGGGGAGATGTGATAAAACCCACCGTCCGGGTCGCAGTGGAGCTCCCCAGCGCCGAAACGACGTGAAAATAGCGCGCTGCGTCATCAGCAACTCCGCGGAGGGCGAACTGAGCCTCCGCCTGAGCGAACCATGCAGCTGCAGCTGTCTCCCAAAACTCCGGCAGTTTGAAAAAAACGGCGTTATTTGCCATGTTCTGAACAGTCTCGGATCCTTCAACGAGACCTTCGTCGGGGTCACCAATGTGGTGCCGAGAGACGGGAGTCGGAGGCGGGGTATCAAATGAACAAGCTAGACTTTTATTACACTAAACAGTGACGCACACAGCTGGGAGACCAGGGGACACTAAAGAGTGACGCACACAGCAGGGAG